TGGGGTCATTTGGTCTACTTAATGGAAACCAATTCTAAGTTAATTTTTCTTCAGACCCTACCCTTTCTAACTTTTTGACTAATGATAAGCTTATTAGGCTAAGGAGTCTAGAAAATATCAACATGTTCCCACTGACATACATGTCATAATTGGGAAGCATAGGTGTTTGGAACAAGTCAAATGATCAGATCTTTGTCTATAGTCCATCTCAGAATAAGTTTTCATCACTAGTGACTTAGTACAGAGTAATTTAGTAACACATACTTGTTATCCTAATTGACAATTATATACTGAAAGAGAAAAAAAGATGTAGAATGAAACTGAAGGGAACAGATGCTATTTAAAGCAAGTACATGGGGACACGTTTTTCCTATCACATTTCATTTGGGTCTTTCATGAACTCTCTTTCTGCTGACATTGAGTGCTTTGTTCCAATAATACCATTGGATTTTTTACAGTGATATTAATGAGTAGACCAAAGCTGAAATCCTATAGTCATGTACTAAAATACAACTTACTTGAGGGATGGGACTTATTACCTTAAATTTCATTTTTCAGTTCCGTTTTGATGACCTATCAGAAATAGAGAAAAGTGTAGTTTTTGTGTACCAACAATTTCTATGAGAAACTTGAAGCATGTAAACACGAGAGACTACAATTTAGGTAGAAGAAACACCACTCTTCTAGGAGTAACTATCCATGGTCATAGTTTAAATTTTGGCACTCCCTTTGTCTGGTGGATGAAGTGAATGTGCTGCCTGACTTTGAATGTGCCTCATCGCTATCTGTTGTTGCCTCTCTGCTCATTTACCGGTCAATACCAAGTTGGATAATGTCAACATTAAGGTAAGGCTAGGCTATGCTCTAGTGCCCATGTTCAAGTTTCAGTAGCTGAAAACAACAAAAAAGGATTACTTGTTCTGACCATAGAGTCAATCTTACTCAGAGATCACACTGATAAAGCAGAAACCATGTGCTGGGAAAGGTGGAGGACTGGAGGTATTTGAAACACTGACTAGTGACAGATACTAATAATTTGAAACATTAGTGACAGATACTAATAATAACCTCCAGGACTCTTCTCAGCAGTAAAGAGATCAAAGATGCATTGCTTTAGGTAAGTCTGTGGCCCAAGACCCCTTTAGAGTGTTAAAAAACAAGGGTGTTACTTGGGGAGCTGACCCAAGCCATGGTATTTTCAGTTGCCACGTATGCGTGTGGAAGTTAGTCATTGAATTAGGAAGCCCAAAGAAGAATTGGTGCATTTGAATGGTGATGCTGGAGAAGAACATTGACAGTCCCATGGAGTGCTAAAAGGGAAAACAAATCGGTCTTAGAAAAAGTACAGCCAGAATTCTCCTTGGAGGTGAGAATGGCGAGACTTCATCGTATAGGCTTTGGACATGTTGTCAGGAGAGACTAGACCCTGGAGGACATCACGCTTAGTGCAGGAGAAGGGCATTGAACAGGGGAAAGGGCCTCAATGAGACAGATGGACCCCGTGGCTACAATGGGCTCAGGCATAGGGACAATTGTGAAGATGGTGGGGTATTTCATTCTGTTTTTTAAAGGGTCACTATGGGCAAGAACCTACTCAAAAGCGCCTAACAAGAGGACCCTATTTTATTTTTTAAATCATTTTATGGGGGACTCATACAACTCTCATCACAATCCATCCATCCATCCATTCTGTCCAGCACATTTGTACATTTGTTGCCATCATCATTCTCAAAACATTTGCTTTCTACTTGAGCCCTTGGTATCAGCTCCTCATTTTTCCCCCTCCAGCCCCGCTCCCCCCTCCCTCAGGAACCCTTGATAATTTATAAATTATTATTATTTTGCCATATCTTACACTGTCCGACGTCTCTCTTCACCCACTTTTCTGTTGTCCTTCCCCATGGAGGAGGTTATATGTAGATCCTTGTAATTGGTTCCCCCTTTCCAACCCACTCTCTCTCTACCCTCCCGGTATCGCCACTCTCAGCACTGGTCCCGAAGGGATCATCTGTCCTGGATTCCCTGTGTTTCCAGTTCCTATCTGTACCAGTGTACAGCCTCTGGTCTAGCCAGATTTGTAAGGTAGAATTGGGATCATGATAGTGGGGGGTGGAGGTTGAGGGAGGAAGCATTTAGGAACTAGAGGAAAGTTGTATGTTTCATTGTTGCTACACTGCACCCTGACAATCTCATCTCCTCCCCACGACTATTCTGTAAGGGGATGAAGTGGAATATTCTTATCTCTAAAATTCAATACATTTTTATGGAAAAACATGGTTTTTCTCCAGATTTCTATAGATAAAGGTTAAGACTCTTCCTGGATATTGTGGTATGGGATAATTGTTATTTTCTTTTTGTTTATTCCCATTTTCTACTACACTTGATCTTAGCCAAAAGGCCAAGAAGAGGTATTCCCTCTTTCTAATTTAAGTAAATACTACTAATGTGCTTACTAATAGGGGAAAGACAAGGCTTTCTACTCCCATAAAGAGTTCAGTCTCAGAAACCTGCAGGGGCAGTTCTATGCTGTCCTATGGGGATGCGATGCGTCTGCGTTGACTCAATGGCAGAATGAGGTTTTCATTGCTTGTTAAAAGCACAAACAGGAGAGCAAAAGTCAAGGGTTAAGGATTTCTTTCAAATAGCTCTTGTTTCTCCTACTAATTTTTTAAATGATGAATGCATGTAAACATCTTTGATCTCTTCTATAAGAATGTTGCGAGTTAATATTTACTATTCTATACGATGTGATTTTCTGATCGAATGTTATCATGCCCAGATTGAGTTGAGTTACTTGTTGGTCTCTGTGTGCAGAAATATTTCCTCCTTTTACATTTTGTTCTTGGGATCTGAGTGTGTCAAGTGTTCTGACAGAGTCCGTACGACAGCTCTGTGCCAGTTTAAAATAATCTTTTCTATGTTGTTTCTAAGGAGCTCTGGTAACTCGAGTCTTACTTGTGTGATTCCTAACCCAAAGATTGGTGTTTGGAACCCACGCCGCGGCTCTGCACGGCAAACACCCAGGGACCCTCTGTGATAAAGATCAAACAAAACTCACGGCCGTCCAGTCGATTATGACTGATTGTTGGGGACAGGCTAGAGCTGCCCCTGTGGGTTTCCTAACGACATCTTTTGGGGAATGGAAAGCTTCTCTTTCTCCCCTGGAGTGGCTGGTGGTTTTGAACTGCTCCTTGTAACCACTACACCACCACCCAGAAAACTCTCAGAGGAAGGTCTACTCGGCTGTACGGCGTCACTGTGTGTCCGAGTCCACTTGGTGGTAGACAACCACCAACATTTTGTTCGCTGTACTGGTGATGTTCTATAATTTGGTACCGTTTTTCTTTTTTGTTTTCAGCAGAATCTTAAATAATTTAATCAGCCAAGAATTTTAATTATCTCTCTCTCTCTCTCTCTCATTGCTTTACCTAATTCTCATTCTTCTACCCTTCAACTTGCTGATCGTCCCTGCATTTTTTCCTTTGAACTCCCTCAGAGCCCTTCCTATAGGCTGGCTCCTTTCACTGTCTAGAAACAGGTGTTATAAATAATCCCCAAACTTGAAAGGTGGTCCTTGGGCTCAGTCCCTTCCGAGAAAGCAGAGGCACACCTGTGGCTGTGTTCTTTTGCCTGTAGGGAGGATGTCTTTATCCTCAAAGTTTGACTCTCCGATGCTAGCCAGCTCCCAATCCAGAATGCCCTGCAACGATCCTTTTCACCCTTTGATATTGTGTATGTCTTTAGCACTGCCTCCTTCTCTTTCTTCCTCCCTTTTCCTGTGAATTCTTTCAAAGTAGTTAGTGGTTTGTTTTACTGTAAATCAATTACATCTATTCTTCCTCATTCCCCTGGAACTCACGCTGTTAGTTACAGAAATTGAGTTGATTACTGGGGGAATCATTTTAGAAATACTTGTTGCATAGAAATTGTTTAGTATAAAATCCGTAGATAATTAAAACATATATATTTAGTAATATTTTTGTTATCGAAACTTTGGTTATTTTATTATTTTCAACAAATCAATTTTTGAGAATTGATCATAGTAATTAAGTTGCATCTTAAAGTTAAAAATCACCTCTTTTTAGGAATTTTAAAAGAAGTTTAGGAAGTTATAAATATGATTTACAGAACAATAGTCACATTTCAAGACCATTTTAAGATAGAGTTACCATATATTCAGGTTTGCTGCGACAGTCCTGATTTATGCCTATTGTTCCTATATAATTATTAATAGTGCACTATTTCATTTTCAGAAATGTTCTGGTTTGAACAATAAATTACATGCCAATTTCCTTAAAGGAGACCACCATTTAGCTCAAGTGAATATATATATATATAAAATTTCTAAACTTAAAATTTCCACATATTCAAATAACTATGATGATACTATACAAACACAGATTGGACATCAAAATTCCCAGAATCTCCTGCCAGCAAGTGAATGATACAGTTTAAGAGATAAATTATATCTAGGGTAAATTAATATCTTTAATTTTATTTCATCCCAAACATTTATAATCCCTTTTGCGTTTCTGTGTATGCCATAACTTTCTTAGTGCATCATTAATTTAGAAAAGAATGCAGTAAAATCCTTGTCCAGTAAAAGACACCTAACATTTTAAAGCAAATTATTGTTATTTTAATTTAAAAGGTAGCCAATTAGCCCTTAGTCCTGCCATACAAAGTTCTGCTTTTCTTCAGACTAAAAAAGCAAAACTTCTAAATGAAACTGGAATAAGTAATTCTGTCCATTGGCTGGGGCTTGATTATGTCCCTTAAAACTTGAGATTTTTTGGTAGTATACACTGACACTATTTTGAACTCATAAACCAGTTTGAAGCTTGAAACGCAATTTCATTTATCTTTATATTCTAAGCTTTATAGTGTTACTGAAATGTCCATCTGTTCGGCCGAGATTGCTTCAAACAGTGAGTGGTCAGAAAGACTTAGATGCTAAAGGTCAAAGGAACCTCTTGACCCTGTGATAACTTGCCGAAGCAATTGCAGAATAGGGGCTGATATACAGTTAGATACAGTTCGCTAAAGCAGGCTCCACTTTAATTGGTAATGATAGCAAGAAGACACAGTAAAGTCATTGCTGAAAGACAACAAAAAGTATCCAATATAGTAATTTATTACCAGTCAGTGGGTTGCACGCACCGGGTTGTTTTACCCCTGCCGTGGTGAGAGAAAGCAAAAAGGTACTCTCACACTTAGCTGAAAATGGATGCCCTGCTGATACCAGGATGCGTGGTGGCCCATGATTGCCTGTGCCATTAGCTTGGTAATGTTGTCTCTATTGTAAACACAGCTCCCCATCTTCTTCCTGTGCATCAGCTGCAGATTGAAGGCTTTCTCCTTTGTCTTCTATTTGTGCTGTCAGTCATCCTGCTGCTCCTTATCCCACCGTTGGAAGGAGACCGTTTTTACTACCAACAGCTATTTCCAGCCACGAGGGCACAAAGGGCCTAAAAATGAATGGCTGGTCCTTCCTTTTACACCTTGTTGTTTGATTGATGCACTCTTGTATTGGATCTCTATCAGTCCACCAGTCGTTTTTATATTTCTCCTACCTTTCTGAGAGGCATGACTTTTGTCACTGGTATCCCCCTACCTGTTTATGGTTTCTATCATATCAGTTGTTGTCAATGGTGAAGTATATTCAGTGCAGTCTAAGCAAAGCCTTTTGTAGCTCGTTTTCATTAGCCAATCAAAAAAATCTTTTAAACATTTGTTACTCATTTTTGTCAAAATCCCCATAGAGAAATTCAAAGGAGTTCTTTTCAGCATTTAGATTTTTTTTTCATATAAAAAATCTTCAGATAAGCTAAATAGCATGGAGGAAAGGTAGAATAAAGCTGAACATTTCATAATTGCATGCACGGAAAAGGCAAAATTCGTCTTATTCATATTTTCAATTTGGAAGGTACTGTCTGAGTTTGGGCTGTGTTTCTGGGTCTGCTTTATAGATAATGTACTCAGAAAATGAGTGAAAATCAGAATGCATGTGAATATTGTGTCAATCCTTCTTTAAAAACTTGAATTTACATCACGATTGATTTATTTAATGACTGTTTTCTTCAAGCCATGATAGAAAACTAGTTTGGAAAAAAATTATATAGAAAGCAACGTTAGCATTTATAGAACAGAAAAATTAAACTTGATTTTGTTTTTATAACACAAGTTCTGCATAATGGGTAGATTGTTACTGCATGTACATTTTTATTGGATAAAGTACTTTTTCGTGTAGTTTAAGTTATATGTGTGAAATGAAATGACGTGGTGTAGTTATTCTTGGAGATGTGGTTTCAATGAACGGTTTGGACATTTTAATTTAGTTCATGAAGCAGTTAACTGTTGAAAAGGGTCGTGTCATTACCTCTTCTCTTGCTCTCCCTGTCTTTCTGTTTTTACATACACACCATTGTTTTAACTTAGCTGATGAAAGCTTTAATGCTCGTCAAGTGTACTAGAATTATTTCGAGACTACTAATGGACCCATGAGGAGCTCGGATATCTTCACACCAGATTCATCTTCTCATGTTTTTCAACATTGTGTTTGCTTGTCCAGAAGGTAGTTAGGCATAACCCAGGCCACCTTCCATTTGCTTTAGAAACCCCTGTTGCTCTGAATTTCAAAAGAGCTAAGGACTGTACTTTGCAGACTTCAATTTCTTGTTAACAAATGACATTGTCATTGCTGTTGACTGCCCTCACATCAGTTCCAACTGACAGTGACCCCACGCACAACAGAGCGAAGCACTGCCTACCCCTGTGCCATCCTCACAGTTGTTCATGGATTTGAGCTTATTGTGGCAGCCCTGTGCCAACTGTTCTCCTCGAAGGCCTCCCTCTTTCTTGCTTTCCCTTTATGTTACCAAGCATGATGTCCCTGTCCAAGGACTGGTGTCTCCTGATAACATGTCCAAACTATGTGAAATGAAGTCTCACCATCCTTGCCTCTCAGAAGCATTCTGGCCCCACTTCTTCCACGATAGATCTATTTGTTCTTTCAGCAGCCCGCTGTACTTTCAGTGTTCTTTGCCAACGTCGTAGTTCAAATGCATCAAGTTTTCTCTGATCTTCATTAGTCGATGACTAGCTTTCACTTTGCATGTGAGGCGATTGGGAATGCCATGGCTTGGGTCAGGCACCCCTTAGTCCTCAAAGCAACCTCCTTGCTGGTCAATGCCATGAGGAAGTTTTGTAAAGCAGGTTGGCCCAGTGGATCTCTTTCTTGACTGCTGTTCAGTCCTCAGAGTAACATCCTTGCTTTTCAACACGTTCAAGAGGAAAGATTTCAAGGGGACAATTTTTCTAAAAAGAATTCTGATAGATGTTTTCTGCACTCTGAGTGATTATTTGACCTGCTGAATAAAAGTCTTCTACTCAATAAACGTTTCATTATTATTGCAAGAATTAATTAATTTGCAACTGGGATGGAAACCAGGCACTTATTATTCCCCATGTCATAAATCTTCATAAACCAACGAATCTTTAAGTCAATAACTGGCTCAGCTCTGCAGTTTGATTTTTAGACCAAATAATTCTATTGTGAGGATCATATTAGCATGTGCGAGTGCATATTAGCCTGGGATAAATGTGAATTTATGCTTAATTTTATTAAGAAACTCTCTCCCTTTCTTTTGAAACTGGTGTTTTCTACCTTAAAAATCAGCACAAGGTACAACACGGCAGACACATAAAGAGCGTGTCCCTCAGTTAGGAACACCTTGTTAGGAAAAAGACTAGTGTCTTAAGAAAGAAAGTAAAGAAGTTATAACCCGATATGGGCCACTCCATCAGCTAATGGAAATATGTATTTTGACAGAGGTAGCAGCGTTCCCAGAATAACTTGAATCCCAGTAGTAAGCAGCCTTCAGAGACAGAAAGCAGATAGGTAAAATAGCATTTAAGTTGTTCTTTCCATGAAATTTTTATGTGGTTCTATGTATTAAATCAGTTGACGTAGATGACATGCCTTGATGTATTTGAGGGGGAATGTATAAAAGCACTTTCTTTTCCTGGATATCATGTCAGTAAGATATACAGTAACTTGACTTTTCAGGTATAGTTTCTGCTGCAATTTAAGACTTTTCAAAATACAGTGTAGCAGTATTGGTTTTCATATACCACTAATGCATCAAGGCTGAATTTTAGGAAGTAAGTACCTGACAGTGCAGGGAGGCTCTGACATTGATGGTCAGTAAAGAAAACTCATGTGCTCCTCAGACCACAGCCCTGTCTAAGTGTCTCCTATTGGGACACTGTTAAGATGTTGCACTTTAGGTGACAGAACAAAACTGTGTCTGTGTCCCCCAAATCTATAGGTCCAAATAAAATTATTTGTAAATCAATAAAACATTAAATATTATCTATTCTGTTCTACATTGTTCAAAAAAATAGTTCACAAATATTCTTCCATATCAGTACAAGCAGATCTACCCTGATTAGGTTTTTGTATTTTTTTTAACCTAAATCTCTTATAAATAGTATTTTACTTTCCATTTATGGAAAATTGTTGATGAATAAGGTATTTGGGATAATATGTTAACAGGCAATCATTACTGGCTTGTGCTGTTAAAATGAACTGGATGTCATGTTGTTTACATGGTATTACGGCATACATTCAATTTACCTGGCAGGGTTAAAGAGATATAGCTATTCAACTATATGGATCTAGGAAAACCCTCTCCCCCACACCCCAAACTCATCGTCATTGAGTCTGTTCTGACTCGTCGGGACCATACAGGTCAGGGAACAACTGCCTCTGGATTTTGGAGACGGTAACTCTGGACAGTGATAGAAAGGCCTGTCTTTTTCCAGTGGAGTCACCGGTGATGTCCAAGGCTGCAAATTGTTACGAGGACAGAAAACCCCATCTTGCTCATTTCAAACCTCTGACTTTGGGGTTCGCAGCACAACATGCAGCCCACTAAGCCAGAAGAATGAAAAACTATTTTTTATTAAAATCTTGATTTAGTGATATAACTGTACATTTTAAAGATGTACATGCATCCAAAATTTATCTATGTAAATATTATTAAGTATGTTAATAGCATTCAACATAACTTAACAATACCTTTAAAACTTACTGATGTATTTTTGGGAACTTAGGTTGATTATAAAATTCTTCTGAAAATATTAAAAGGACAAGAATAATTACAAAAGTAGAACTAATAAAATACTTTATTCTCAGATATCACATAAGAGTATATATCATATATACTGTCTGTGTCCAAATATATATACCTGTGTATTTTCAGATGCACATATATTCATAAAGCAGTAGAGTTTGGTACTTGCTCAAGAACAAACAAGTAGATCAATGGAAAATAAAGGGAAATTAATGGATGAGCAGGTATATAAATCATAATTTTCTCTTTGGAAAAGATAGCACTTAATATCTTTGGGGAAAGTTAATAAGTAGGGTTTATATAATTAATGATTATTTGGGATACTGAATAAAATCACTTTTTATTTCCTACTTTTCACAAAGAATTAACTTCAGAGATAAATACAAATTTTAATATAGAAAGATAACTGGGTGGGATCAAATTTGAGTTTATGATTCTATTTTTAAATCATTGAATTTTGAGGGATCTACTAACTGTGGCATAATTCCTAAGAGATTCATAAAATGATTTTTAGAATTTGATTACTTAAAAAGTGAGAAAAAATTGT